CCATATTTCCAGCCCTCACTGTTTAAATAGTGTTCAGTTACCCAAATTGTTAATCTCTACAAATTAATAATCCATGTACTTTTGTTGTAAAAAAAATAGCCCTATTTGTTTGTTTAGTGTTCAGTTACCTAAATTGTTAATCTCTACAAATCAATAATCCTGTACTTTTGTTGTTAAAAAAATAGCCCTATCCATGTATACTTTATTTTATTGGACAGTATCTTAAATTTTATACTATTGACTATATTAATGGCAATATCAATAGAATGCCATATGCCTCAAGGGGATAATTTATAATGTCCTTCAACAAAATAATGTCTTTAAAGTGAACAAGGGACATATATAAATCATAAATATATAAATAGGTTTTAAGCTTATACTTAATTGTAGCGCTAATCTAAGGTAAATTAGTTTGTATGGCATGACCCTGGTCAATGCTTGCCCTCATGAAGTGATTATTGAAGATGTGGACTAAAGTGTGGTGAAGAAATCAGATGCTGCCCAGCTATCAGAAAAAATGGTGTCTGCTGTCTTAAAGGCTTGTCTTCAAACAGCATCTATCAAAGTGAGGGGTCAACTAGGTCCACATGGAAGAAGCACATCAGCCTATATGATCCAAGAACTGTAAATAATAAAAATGAATCCCTGAGCAGGGGACAGTATTAGAGCCTAAATTCTGAACATCCAGTTTGCAGAAGACTATGGATGACAGTGAAAGCCCAAAATGCAGGGGCAGGGTTCCCCATTCAGATTAAGCCTCAGATGAATCCTCTCTGACTATGGACCAGAAATGGGAAAGGCCTCGTTATCAGACAATAGCTGGATAAATACTTTCAAAGGGGCAGGGGAGGGGAAGTGGGTGGGAAACGGAGACCTAGCCACGAGTACAAGGAAGAATAAATGTCCTGGTATTGAGTGTGGTGGTGGTTGCACAACTTTTAGGAATGGGACTGAACTGTGGAAATGTATGCTATATGATTTGTATATCAGTGAAGCTGTTAAAAATAAACTAATTTTTATTAAAAAGAACAAAGGGCAATGGGTGAGGTACGTTTCATTGGGTGCTTATGACCTTTGAAAGACAGGTAAGTCAGTCATGAACAT